CTGCTGATCCTCACCTCATGACTTGCTACAAACTTACAATATTGCAGTCTGTGCACTGGGGGAGAGGAGACTGAGGAAACGCTTCCTTCTGCCTGCAGCAGACTAAGAGACCTTTCAGACGGACCATTCAATCAGGTCCACCTGCCAGTTTTTCAAGTGGATCTGATCAGAAGCCCAATGTCAGTCTATGGGCAGTATTCCGTTTCGCCGGACCTGATTGTGCGGGATCGGGGGTAATCTGATGTAAATGGACACATATCCCTTTACATCCGTATCCCCATAGACAGACAAGGGGTCCGGCAATTTAATTTTTTTCCTCCATTGCAAGATCCCAATGGTGACATCCATTCCAATTAGCAGGGATGCCGTGCACGGACTGCCTCCTGATTGGATGTGAAAGAGGTCTAAAATAATCATATTAGCCTATACAAAGCCACTAAACTGGAGGCCAATTACTCCTTTTTTAATTTTACCCTTTTTTATTCAATTACATACACTCCAGTATTTTAGAAAAATGATGCTGTTGCTGTATACTGTGGCCTATCAGGAATTCATTCATCCATCATGTAAAGTTGATGAAAGGCTCTTTATAAGCAAAACGGACCCAGAGCTATTATAATTTCCCTTTAGGAAGTCACGGAACAATAGCATTGTGCTCTTGAGCTCTTACTGCCTTTTCAGTAGCAGAAGAGACATTGCACATAATGTGCTCAGCACCTGTCCATGCCCTTGGCCATTGGTGTACTTCCACCCAGTTCTGCAGAGCAGCTTGGCCGGATTCTGACCGAGGTTGTGGGAATAATCACTGAATCGTGAATTCAGACAAACAGAAAAAGCCACGTCTTTAGAGAAACATGCAGACATGCACGGAGAAGTCGGTTCTGTGCTTTTATCCAAGAACAACAGAAGAAGCATCTGACCGCAGAGCGGAGCCAGAAATATAAAATCATCTTTGAATGTAAAAAGCCCCATTTAGATGTAAGATAAGAGTCATTACAAAGAGAAGCAATGCTCCGGCCAAGCAGCTAAATACACATTGGAAATACAATACATGCATGTGAACTGTTCTACCAGCTAAGTACTTGTCATGCTGTCCAGCCAGTCTTCTGTCGCACTAGGTAGTCTGACGGTGACACCAATCTTATAACCAACTGATTTCCTTCAGTCACCTCCTGGCTGGCAATGGCAGCCAAAACTTTTAAAGTGGACCAGTCAATAACTTTCCAAGTCTCCATAAATGAATCCCTGGCATGTCACAATATAGGAACACTCTATAATTTTTCAGAAAAGCTCCTATTTTTATCATTAGAAAGCCGCCATTGAGTTTCAGTTGGTGGCCTTGCCTGGGCCGAGATGTTGTTATCAGTCTACTGCATTGAAAATGCAATAGAAGATGGCGTGCCTCTAAGAGCATCACTGTATCAGGCTGGAATGGATAGTGCTCACCTTTTCACATGGCCGGGATAACACACAGTACATAGACTTGTAGAAGAACTCTTCCAAAGCTGAGGGATAGGGAATCCACCTCTTTACATGCCTGATGTCAAGGTATCTTCTATAGAATGGGATGAGAAAGCTTCTAGGTGTCTGGATACAAAGTAGAACATTCTATGGAAGATTCACTGTAATAAATCATCATGGCAATAGTGCTTCAGGTCCCTTTCACAGGGCCATTCCGATCAGATCCGCCTGTCAGTTTTAAAGGAGGATCTGAGTGGAAGCGCAATATTAGTCTATGGGGCGTTTACATCCAATTACCTCCGAGTCCATCTAGGTCCGAAAAAAAATCAGGAAAGGCCCTTTCACATAGGTGGTGTTCATTTTTAACAGCAAGGAATCCATACGCAGATCCCGGAGCAGTATAGAATGGATTGCACATGTGTGACATCCGTGTCCGTTCAGTTTTTTCCTCCATCTCACGATGGAGTTAATAACTGAGTTAAGTGGACCTATGTTCCATGTGGTCTATGGCAGCCTTTCTCAGCCAAGGTGCCGCCTTCTGGCTTCCCCACAGGTTCTCCAAAATTTTGTATGTAGTAGTGGGACTGTTATGTGAACGGGAATAAAGATTGATGTGAAGGGGGCTCCTGATGTAAGGGGGGAACTCTGATGTGAAAGGGGGGAATCCTGATGTGAAGGGAGGGGGATCCTTATGTGAAGAGATGGGCATCCTGATGTGAAGGGGAAGGGATCATGATTTGAAGGGGGCACTTTGATGTGAAGGGGGAAACCCACTTAAAATCTATGACATTTTAGACTGGGGTGCCTAAGATTTTGCATACTTTTAAAGGGTGGCGTGACTAAAAAAACGGTTGAGACACTCTGGTCTATGGGGAGTCAGATGTAAATGGACGTGCATCTGTTTAAATTCTTTTACCTCCGAATTGTCATGTTCAGGTCTGCAAAGATGGAACACTTTTCCATTTTTTTTTAGACTTAGATGGACTTGGAGGTAATTGGATGTAAATGGACGCATTGCCCTTCCATTCTGATCTGCCTGGAAAACTGACAGATCTAATCGGAACCGCCAGGTGAAAGGGGCCTCAATGGGCATGAGTCAGTTTACATTCTTTTACCTTTTACATCACATTCAGGTCCGCAAAAATAGAACTTTTTGGTACTGCTCCTAGAGCTAAATGAATGTAGAGGGTCAATTCCAAATAATTGCTGAAGATTTAAACTCCAACTTTAATAAAACTTTGTAAAAGGAACACTGACACATTTCACTCCCTCTTCAGGAGTAAAAAAATTAAACACATTGTCTAAATTGTGTATCTATCTATCCTCTCTATCTATCTATCTATCTATCTATCTATCTATCTATCTATCAATCAAATTATTTTATACACATACACTTTTTGTGTCATCCACTCACACTTTTATATTCCTCATTCGTATAGTCTTTCCTCCAGATATGACGCAGTATTTATCACATTTGTTCTACACATTTGTGTCCTTTCTACAATTTTGCTAAACAACACATGGACATAATTTTGCTAATCTACATCCAAAGCAAAAACCACCTTTAATGCATGGAACCCATTTCATTACAATATTAATGAATTTAAGTGTTTCCAGCTATTTCTTGGCTGATTTCTGGGACTCTAATCGCTTCACTGTGACTTTCTAGTCCCACGTCATTCCTGCATAGATATCGAGTGATAGTCAAATAGAATTTGGAATGAACCTGATTAGATTGTAGAAATATGAGACCCTATAGTTCACCCTTTATGTTACACCGGTGCAGAATGATTACAAATCCAGCCATAATGACATTCCAGTAACTCCATCTGGAGCTCACAGAATTGCTTTATGAGAGGTACGAAGTTTAATCATATTATAATGAGGAACTTGCTCCGTAGAAAGAAGGATGTTTAGGTTTTGGCTGGATGTACTCCGTATTAACATAAACTCACTTTTAATTGCTGTCTAATGATGTGATGCTGTGCGAGTTTTCTAGCAGGGGGTACTCTACCTCCGGCAAGGCTTGATTGGGAGACCTTGTCGGAGATGTCCCTAGGGGAAGACATGGATTGTTTGCAGACTTTGCTCTGATATTGTGCAGGCTATAACAAAACATATGGATTTCATACAACACAAATGCTCTAAATGTCGGTAATCATCTCTTTCTCCTTCCCCCTTGCCTTTTACGTCCATGGCTCTATCACCTGTCTCTACTTATCCATCTATGTGGTTCTCTCTTTTTCCCTCTCCGTTGTGATTGCCTCATTTCTTATTCCCTTCCAACTCTTCTCTCGTTCCCTCTGTCACTCTTTCTCACACTCTGCTTCAAGACTCTATCAGTTCTGCACTATGACACATAAATGTCTTTCTTCCAATTTTTTCTTCTTTCCTCCCTTTATATATTTTCAGTTTTCTCCCCAACTTCTCTATCCTTATGCTTCCTACCCCGTCTCTCTCCTCTCTTCTATTTTTGTCTTTCCACTTCACCTCAACTCTTATTCCCACTCCACCTCTCCTATCCTTCTCACTCCATCTCTCCTCACCTTCCCACTCCCCCTTCTATACCTTCAGCTCCATCTCTTCTATCCTTCCCATTCCATGTCTCCTTACCTTTCCACTCCACCCCTTCTATCCCTTAAAATCCACCTCTTCTATCCTTCTCACTCTATCTCTACTCACCTTTTCACTTCACCCCCTTCTATCCTCTTCATACCACCTTCCCTCGTCTTCTCTCTCCACCTCTCCCCTTCTTCCCACTCCATCTCTCCTTTCCACTCCATTTGTCCCTTCCTCTCCTCACCACTCCCCCGCTCCTTACCACTCAATCTTTCCTCAATACTCCACTTCTCCTTCCTCTTCCAACTCTCTTCTACTGCCCACTCTACCTTCCCTCTCCTTACCACTACATCAATCTTCGACTTTCCATGCAACCTGTCCTCTTCTTCCCATTCCATTTCTCCTCTCTCTACTCCACCTCTCCTTTCCGTTCCCTCTTTATCTGTCCTTTCTGTCTCGCTTTATGTATCCTTCCACTACATTTTCCTGCTCCTTTCCTCTCCTCCTCTCATCTTCTGCCCATTCCATCTCATCTGTCTTCTCTTCTCCTCTTCTTTCCTCTCCTCTTCTGCCCACTCCTTCTTTCCCTTTCTCTACAACATTCCCCTTTCCCGCTCTTCCCTCCTGTGCCCCTATCCTTCTTTTACATTTTTTACTTTTCTCTTTCCATTCCTCTTATCTCTCTTTCCTATCAGTCCCTGCTCCAATGTTCCACCTGCTTTTTTCTTCCATGTACACCTCATGTCTCCCCATATTTCGATCTCTGTGCTTGCATTTCCCTGCTACCTTTTCTACCCTCTTCATCTCATCCCCCCTTTTCTGTCTTATGTTTATTGTGTTCCAACAGTTTCCTCTTCACTCATGTATCTTCTCCTTCTCTTCACAGGTGATTCAAATTTTGTTCAAACCTTCTTATGATGTCCCTCCTTTCATTGTCCCTCATAATCCTCTTGTTTGGGGGATCGCTCTCTGCTCCTCCCAGCACCACCCAGCCAAAGTGTCCAGAGGCAGAAGGGATCAAACACTTGCTGAATCGTCTGATCATTTTGGAAAAGTTGGTGAGGGACATAAAGGGACAATGTTCAACACCCTGCTGCGGCAATGTGCAGAGTGGTGCCGGTAAGTGTGACCATTTTATATCACTGATGGGCTATGTGCTAAATGAACAAAGCTTCATATTCAATCCCTTCTCAGAAATAAAAAAAACAAGCCTTCAGTTATAGGTGGACTATATTGCCCAGTGGCCTCTTAAAAGTGTTGTGGTGACCAGGCTCCTAACATAATATCAATACAAAATTCTACATCTAAACCTAAGAACAAAAATATAATATTGCAGCTTAACGGTTCTCCTTACACGTGGTTGCATGCTTTTTTCAGGCTAAGACGATGCAGGGAAAAAACTGCTGATCCTGCCAGAAATCCATGTTGTAAAAGAGTAACTTCATCCCTGTCAATTAATTTTATTTCCATATGCCATTTCAGGCTCCTTTATGCAAGGTAAACTGACTGCAAGCCCAGCGAATTCTGCATTACCCTTTTCTCATCCAGGGCACATCCTGCCCTTGCTGCCATCTTTAATCTCCTGTAATCAGGAGCCAGCTGTGCTTTCCTTGTTTGCACAGCCAGCCCCCTGATGAAGCTTCCCTAAAGCCCATTTCCACCTTAGTGTGGTATTTAAAAAAAGCATATGCCAGCAATTTACACCAAGTCTACATGAAGCAGGCATATTCAGTTTCTGTATATGAACACAGATACATATTGTATTTGTTCGCTTTCCTCTTCATATCCTCATCGAAATGGCGGCCGCTCTGCAAGCAATCTGTGCAAATTACAACTGAGCTCTCCACCCCCATTCATTAGTATGCATAGTGGCAACCTCTTCCTGGACAGTGTATTGTGTGCAAAGGCAGAGCTGGTGTTTAGTGATCGTGTTACACAGAATCACAGGGAGGGAGGCAGCTGTTTACAGCCAGCTTTACAATCCGACTTCTGTGTCAGACTGAATTTCCTGTGGAGAAAACTAAGAATTTGTAGGATTCAGGCCTTATAATGCTTTCATTACAAAAATGAAGAAAGCCTGCAATATGAGTCATGAATGTGCGCACATGTATACATCATCACTGCACCTCTTTATTACCACAGTAAATGCTAATCACTTACAAAGATGGAAATGGACTGTAAACCACTGCATGCTCAGATGTGCAGTGGGTCCTGTGGGTGGCCAAATAAATCATCCTCCCTTACTAGGGAGGGAAGTATGAGGCCGCAAATGGAAAAAAGGGATTTCCCCAAAAAATAACAATATAAATATCTGCAATGGTATAAAAAAAGGGAGGACGTAGGTAGCAGAAGAGAGGAAGTTTTAAACAATGTTAGCAGCCTTCCTAGTTCTCAGCTGTGGACTAGCGATCACCCCTCATATGTTATTGAGATAAGTAGGGAGGGAGGTGTTTGTGTTCCAAATCAGGAGAGCAGCCTATGACACTGATCCTCCATAGATACAGTACAGTGAGGGCGCGTTGTCACCCTAGGCAAGGTAGTGTGTCAGTGGCAGGATCACAAGGTGAAAATAAAGACAAATAGGCTGAAATATATTATGTTTTGGGTTTAGATAAGCTTTAAATACTTTGAAAAAGTATATATCCAGTGGCTGCAGGCAGAAGCCTGGGGGGCCTCATGGGGCTTCTGAGCCATTAGTTGGTCATTACTTTTCCCTATGAGAGTTTTTAGCCATATGTAACAGTAATACAGCTAATACATTACACAGCATTACGTGACCTGTACCAGACTGTGTATTAACTTACATTATCATTAGACATTACAACACGCATATTACAGGAGAAGAGACGGGGCTGTTGTAATGTTTTAGGGTGGTGTGCATTTTCCAAAGGCCCTTCCTAATGGAACATTTTTTTAAATGGAATATTTTCATTCCACCAGTTATCTGTCACCCTCCCTTGCATCCATCCCCCCCCAAAACTATCTGGTTATGGTCTATCGAATAGTTTATGTAGAAGCATTGCATGAACAGAAGGTATTTACACCCCCCCCCCTTCCTCAGTCCAGAGGGTGTAGTCCCCATGATAGTAGGCAAAGACATAAGATCATTCCATTATGCCTCTCTGGCCAACTATGCATCTAGAACGTCTGCTTTATAGCACAGACATATTAATATTATAGTTCATACAGATGATATACAATTGTTTACAGTTTTTTGGGTTTCATTAGTGTAAGCTAAGCTATGAATAAAAGCCAATGTGGATAGCTCTCCAGTCACAGGAGTACACAGAGGGCCTCTGGGCATTGGAGAGCATAGTCTGCGCCTCCCAACACAAACCCAATGTAGACAGTGTCAAGCAGCAAGTCATATAATCTCCCCAGTTTTATTAAAGCAGAGCGTGAAAGATCGTGACATGTTTCAGGCTAAGTGAACCAATGCTAGCCGTATCAACTAAGGCTAAGATGGGGTCACCATTGCTTTGATGGAATAGGGCTTAGGAAAACAGTAAACAAACACAAATAAAGGGAATATCTTTTATTTTGTATATATTTTATATTTTATTTGATGATGATACATTTTAAATATTAAACATTTCATGTGTACAATTTTTCAGCAGTTCAGCAATTTTCAGTCACCGAGTGGAGCTCTTAGCT